CCACCTTTCCTAACATTATTGTCTTTTCCAACGATTTATGTCTTCTCATGATGTGTCCAAAGTACAACAGTCTGAGGGCCTTTGCAGACTGTTAGAAATAGTGCAAATTGAGTCCACTTTAAGGGTTAGGGTTAGGGAATCATGGGAACTGTATTTTATTGTGGCACCAGAGCTCTCTGACAGAGAAGGCTCAATGTCTCAGAAAAAAACCAATTGCCATGAATCCTTAGCACTAACCCTAATCCTTAAAGTGGACTCAATTTGCACTATTTCTGGCAGTCTGCAAAGGCCCTAAGTCTTTTCATCTTGGCTTCCAGGGATATTTCTAGATTGCTCTGCTCTGGGACCCATTTGTTTGTCCTTTTGGCTGTCCATGGGATCCTCAGCACTCTTCTCCAGCACCACATTATCTCAAATGCATTGATTTTCCTCCTCTCTTCCTTCTTGACTGTCCAGCTCTCACATCCATACATGGTAACAGGATACAATGGCTTGTATGATTCTGACTTTTGTGCTGAGTTGTATGTCTTTCCGTTTTTGGATCTTTTCTAGTTCTTTCATAGCCACCCTCCCCATTCTTAATCTCCTGATTTCCTGGCTGCAGTCCCCATTCCAATCAATGTTTGACCCCAGATATGAGAATTCTTTTATTATTTTTATTTCCTCACTGTCTAGTATGAATGTGTGTAAGTTCTCTGTGGTCCTTATTTTTGTTTTCTTTATGTTCAACAGTAAGCCTGCCTTTGCACTTTCTTCTTTGATCATCCTTAGCAGTTGTTCCAGGTCTGTGAGGTTTTTTGCTAGTATTATGGTGTTGTCAGTATATCTCAGATTGTTGATATTTCTTCCTCCTATTTTCACTCCTCCTTCTTCCGTGTCTAAGCCTGCTTTCTTTACAATATGTTCTGCATATATTTTAGATATTTGTAATTTTAGACATAATTCTGTTATTTTTAGGCTCATGGTTTTAGGTAATTTGTGATTTTAATTATGTATTTGATGTAAGATTTGTAGCTGTCCTAAGCTCTTATGACAAAAGGGCTAGTATTGACCAAATAAATGAACAAATATTATTATTAATTCAAAACATCTCTATCTTACTTTTGAACCTGAAACCTACCATGAAAGCACTCTGGAAAGGACCCATCTGAATCTTGAAGACATTAAGAGATGCCTTCATGCTCCTGAGACCTGCTCCAAAGTCATTTGCAGCAGGGCATTTATTGTGGTGGCACTTGCTATGTGCAATACTCTTTCCCTGATATTAGACATGCTCTGATAATTCTATTATTGATTTTTATGAATTATGTATTCCATGTTTTATGACTGCTAATGCTTGACATGTCATAGATCTCTTTACATCTCATATAAACTATAATAGATAAATAGCCAGTATCAAACTGAGGTCTGCTTTACGTGTTTTGAATTTGTTCACAGGACAAAATGCATGATCTACTTGCGCATCAAATATAGGCATGCTAAGAATCTGTAAACAGAGTGGCATTTCCATTTTGGATTCATAAAGATTAAAATAGTGATGTTCATCAATCAAGACTGATTTAAATGCCATGCTTTTAATAGATTAATGTATTAACTGAGTGGTTAAATCTACATATTGCAGAATGTCAATTAAGGTTCCTTTCTGTGGATCTTGAAGGGGGTTATTTCTTTTTATGAGTGAGCACATGTAATTAAGTAAGAGCTGTCACTGCTGGTTAGATAGCAAAGCCATCTCTAATCAAATGTGTGAATATACAATAAGAACAGGAACCCACAACCATGCATAGCAGCACACAAGGGACAAAAACAGAGCTTTGGTAGGTTATAATTTTGACTACAACTACCAGAATCTCCCAGTCAACTTAGCTATGGCCATGTTGATTGTGGGATTCTGGGGATTGAAGTTCAAAAAAGTAGCTTTTCCAAGTTGTGAACAGAAGCATGCACCCATCCCTTTCTCCCAACATAAGTGCATGCAAGAACACTCTTTAACAGGCACACTCTGTCACAATCCCAGATGGGCTAGGGGAACAGAAGAATCAAGAAGGCCCCTGAAAGGCCATTAAGGGTAGCAGAGGGGATAGCTGTCCAGACATGTCAGGTGGTCAGACAACAAAGTAAGAAATGTCTAAGATGTAGGAAAGAGGATATGATGATCACTCCCAATGACTGCAACAACTAAGGGCCAAACCAGAAGTCTTATTAATTGCATGAATGAAGACTCATTATACACTAGGGAAGACATTGGTCAGTATGGGGTTATGGGTTAAATTTTTTTAATCAGCAATGAAGGCTTCTTTTAACATGCAAACAGCAGCTTCCAAGAGGTGATTTTTCCTGGGAAGTAAAATTCATTCTCTTTCTCTGCCCATGGTCCCAGAACTGGTCACAGGCTTCCAGTTTATGTCATGATGTAACATTAACTGCATATGCAGAAATTAAATTCACCTGCAGTTTGGCTCTAAATTGCTTCGGTGTAAACTAAACCTCTAATGAGTGCTGTAATTCAATCAACAGGTCTGACCACAGCCATAGTTCAATGCTCAAAAGTTGATGATATGAGTTACCCATGTCAAATGTGCCTTTTAGTTTTGGCACCTCTGGTCATCTATATGTGTAAAGTCCAGGCCGGTAATTGAGACTGATAATCCCAAATTAAGTGCTTATATCTGGGATCAAACACTGATTTGAATGGGGACTACAGCCAGGAAATCAGGAGAAGATTAAGAATGGGGAGGGTGGTTCTAAAAGAACTAGAAAAAAATCCTAAAATGCAAAGATATACAACTCAGCACAAAAGTCAGAATCATACAAGCCATTATATTCCCTATTAGCATGTTTGGATGTGAGAGCTGGACAGGCAAGAAAGAAGATAGGAGGAAAATCAATGCATTTGAGATGTGGTGCTGAAGAATAGTACTGAGGATCCCATGGATAGCTAAAAGGACAAACAAATGGGTCCTAGAGCAGATCAAGCCAGAGATATCCCTAGAAGCCAAGATGACAAGACTTAGACTGTCGTACTTTGGACACATTATCAGACGGCATGAATTGTTGGAAAAGGCAATAATGTTAGGAAAGGTGGAGGGAAACAGAAAGAGAGGAAGGCCACATGCTAGATGGATGGACTTTATTAAAGAGACAACAAATATGAGTTTGCAGGAGCTGGGCAGAGCAGTAGAGGACAGGGGACCTGGAGATGTCTCATCCATAGGGTCGCCATAGATTGAGACCGACACGAAGGCAATTAACAACAACAACAAAATCCCAAATTAAAACTGATACTGTGGAAACTATGGTTAAGTAAACATAAATCAGCCATGCACTCACATGTACCTTCCTCTCCACTACATAGTCCCTTTCATCTTTTTCTTGGCAGCTTTAACAATAATTTAGCATTACATGTCCACCAGGGCTAACTATGGTCACTCCATGCCATATTCCCAGTTAACTAGGATTTGCAAATGTGCTTCGACCTCTCATTAAGATGGGAGTCCAGGTACTAACTGTGGATAGCCTCTGTGCACAAGTCACACCAAACAATGGTTAAAGACACATGGGAAAATACATGTTTATGAGCAGTGGGAACACACATTGATAGCAGGGAAGGGAGAACTATGTGCGCCAATAATCTGTTTTGGACTGCAGTGTTACATATTCATTGGGCTTCAATAATACAATGCCATATATAAGTTAGTTCACATCCTTGAAGATACTGGTGTGTTTTTTTAAATAACACTGTCTCATTTAAGCACTGTCAGTTCGGGTCATTCTGAAAGCTAATTTACTCCAAAAGTTTTGCAAACTGAAGGAATCCCATCTTTTACTTATCATCATCATCATGCATCAAGAATTCTGAGTCTTTGCATTTCCACTTATTGTCAGTCCTACCCATCAGTTTTCTGCTGGTCTATGACCGTAATAAAGATGAACTGAACATGTACCCATCAGTTGAGGAAGAATCTTCATCTTAATTACTATGCCGATTCAATGGATTAAAAGTTTTTTACCCTTGCATAAAATCTGCCCACATTATGATTTTAACAGCATTGTGAACTACGAGGAAAAACACTTGAGTGGTGTGGTAAAAAGCTCTCAACCTAGATTCTGACTTCACTAAACTCTGTGCTTCAAATAGTTGTGGTATTGTTATATTATACCATTTATTATATAGCAAACCCTTTGAAAGATTGATTCCATTTCCTTCAGAACGTCGGTTAAGAGAGACTTTTAGGTCTCTTTCCACTTCCCACCACATTTCTTCCTTGGTCCTCATGAGGGCACCGATTTATCTTCTCACAGAGTCAATCAATCATCTGAAGGGAGCTACTGTGCTAGAGCGTCTGTCTCTTTCTGTAATACAAGGTGCCTACTTCAGAGTTACCTCCAGAGGATTAAATCAGGGCCTGTCACTGGCCACATGATTAGGGCTACTTTACCCTAAACACCTTGTTTATCTTTGTACAAAGAGAACACATCAGGCTCGATGTTACATCACAGACCTTTCCCTTACGGAGAAACTATTAATCCCCAACAGGATACATCTGTGAAACAGGCAGGAAATCACATTTGCCTTGCTGATTATAAACAAGAAAAACATAACAGAAAATTGCATGCTGTTCTGATTTTAAGGACAATTACCCAGGAGTAAATTCGATGAGAATAAATGGACAGCAAAACAATTAACTATTATTTATAATAAATAATTTTATATTATCCTTCAATAAAACAATCTTGGGGTGCTTATGTACAATAAAATATAACACGTTCCCTCAGAGTGTGGTGGAGTCTCCTTCTTTGGAGGTTTTTAAACAGAGGTTGGATGGCCATCTGCCAGGAGTGTTTTGACTGTGAGTTCCTGCATGGCAGGAGACTGGACTGGATGGCTCTTGGGGTCTCCTCCAACTCTATGATTCTATAAAACCAATCAAAATAAATGTTTTACACATCATAATGGATGCAAGAACTCAAAAGGCAGCATGACAAAACCCAGATAGTGAGCCAGAGTGATGTAGTGGTTAGAGCACTGGACTATGACTCTGGAAACCAGGGTTTGAATCCTTGCTTCGTTATGGAAACCCATCTTGGGCAAGTTGCACTTTCTCAGCCTCAAAGAAAGGCAAAAGGAAACTCCCTCTGAGCAAATCTTGCCAAGAAAATCCTGTGAAAGGTTTGCCTTAGGGTTGTCATATGCTGGAAATGACTTGAAGGCACACAGCAAGAACAACAAAAATAATTCACAGGCTAAAATCATACCAAAATGGTAAATGGGAAAATAAGATCACGTCTTTGGCGGTAACAAAAGGATAACACTGATATTAGATGGGTTTCTCTGGAGAAATTATGGGGACACGCTATAATGTGTGTGTGGGGGGGGCATTTCATGATACTCTTCTGCTTTATTTCAGACTGTGGGTGCATTCATAGAAGGCCCTATTATGAAGTTTTTAATGTGAAGGTCGGACAGTAAAAAGGCAGACAGACAGACCTAGACCTCTGTCTTAAAGTAAAAACCTGGAGTCTGAACTTCATCTAGAAACAGAGCAGGAGCCAGTATAATGTGAGTACAGTACCCAATAAGCAATCTAGCTGTCATACTCTGAATAAACTGCTGTTTCTGAATGGTATTTCAGGGCAACTCTGGTTTCTGAATGTATTTCAGGGCAGCAAACAACACTGCAGTAGTCGTAGGCTTTCATGGCCGGCATCCATAGGTTTTTTGTGGGTTTTTTTTTTCTCTGAAGATTCTAGCCATAGATGCTGGCGAAACGTCAGAAAGAAACTCTTCTAGAACATGGCCACACAGCCCGAAAAAACCCACAAAAAACCTAACACTGCAGTAGTTTGACATGGAGATAACTAGAGCACAGATCACTGAGCACAGGATAAAGATTCATCACTGGGAACTTCTCCCCCAGCATTTCACTATTGACAAGAAGATGTTGCCTTAGTTTCAACTTGGATAGCTTCCAGTACTGTTGTTGTTTGCTTTCTGGTCATTTCTGACTTTGGGCAACCTCAGGGTTTTCTTGGCAAGATTTGTTCAGCGAGAGGTTTACCTTTGTTTTCCTCTGAGGTGGAGAGAGTGTGACTTGCCCAAGGTCACTCAATGGGCTTCCATGCCCGAGAGGGGATTTGAACTTTGTTCTCTACAATTGTAGTCCAATGCTCAAACCACTACACCAAGCTGACGCCAATGTTGAACAACAGGGATTCAGAAGCACAGTAGTATTATGAATCTATTCCAGCATATATTTTAAAAAGAGAAATGGGAAAATGCTGTATTATTTATTTCATAAATGATGACAACAACAACAATTAAGTAATACAACAGATAATCAACAAATAAAATTATCAATTACAATAAATTAAAATGTTAAATAAATAAACAAAATCTTTGGGGAAAACAAAAATAGATGTGTTTGTGACATGATTTCTAAGTGAGCTTTATTTCTGGTAACAGACATACTCTGAACTGCTCTTTGGCTCCAGTTGGTGGACCTTAAGAGTTCTAATAAAAACAAAGCTGATCCTGTAAGCCTAAAATATGCCGTTTCAAACGATGCTTTAGAGGAACTAAATATATACTGCACAACACACATCCAATCTATTAGCCTTTTTCATGTACTTAATCAAAAGTGATGCAGCCATCTGTCCAAATGTGTGTGGTTTTAATTGCATATGTAGGCTTTTATCCACAATGCGAAAACAGATCTGAATCTCTTTTCTGATCTAGTCCAATTGTGGCACACACAGGCAGGCTGGGAATGAGTTGGGCTAATAATGAGACAATTTTCTGATGGAGTTTATGCCCCTTTCTGTCTTAACAGGTGCAGTTCCTGGTATGCTGGAAGCCAATTAAATTAGTAATAATTAGCTACTGAACACCAGAGCCCCTGTCAACTAATTATTAAAATCACCCTAGAGACATCAGGAGGCAGTAGACTCCTTTTCACTAGGAGAAACGGTTTTTTTAAAAAAACGTAAAAATTATGCATTCTGGGTGGGATATGAATATTCCTATGGGTGCAATCCACAGAAAAGTAAGAGTATTTAAACCCCATTGAAATCAATGGGGTTTGAATGCACAAATAAGCACTGCAGTCCCATTTATTGAATGGGACTTAATTCTCATTATATTATGCCCAGTGGATGCAATCCAGAGAGACACAGAACCTAACACAAGCTGCAGCTTATGTCCAGCTGTGTTCTTCCAGCACAGTTCTTCAAAACGTTTCTCCCACACTATAAGTTCCAAAATGATTTTTTAATGCTGCAAGATTAGGTCCATCAGATTTTGAAAAGTCCTGAAGTAGACTTGTACTTTAAAGTATAGACAATACAAGAACACACTTGTCAAAGCTGCATTCTTTTTTTAAAACAAAAATCTGCCCAGCTTCAAAACAGGCTCTGTTGGTCTAACTCAGGGGTAGGCAACCTTTTTGAGCTGGGGGGCGGTCCTCCAAAGTCCTCCCCTCCGCTGGGCCGAGGGGGGGGATGGCGGTGCGCATGCTCATGCACGCGCACGCACCCCCCCGCTGCATGCGGCCCCCCTGTGCGTGCTGCTGCCGCCGCTGCGGCTGCGACGCATTTGCGCATGTGCAGGAGTACTGCGCATGCGCAAACGAGTCACGGCCACCATTTTGGAAATCAAAATGGCAGTCATGGCACGTGCGGCTGCACGGTGGCGTGCGGCGGTGGTGGCAGGGGTCCGCCTGGGCGGTAAGTGCAGGGACCTGGGCTGGAACCGGCCCGCGGGCCGTAGGTTGCTGGCCCCTGGTCTAACTAATACACACACACAAAATTTGCCCAATTAGTGGGAAGAGGAGAAAGTCAACAATGAAGTTATTGATCAAATTAGAGATCAACTACCTATGTTAAGTTGTTTTATTTATGTTTTATTATCAAGGCCACAAGCCAGGTTTCCAGCAACCTTCCTGCTACCTTTTTGATGGATTTCTATCTGGTCTCTCAGAGGATTTTCTTCCTCTAGTGCCATGTCTGCTCTTCCTCATCCCAGCAGACTTACCACAAGATTGAGTGGGTAGTGATAGTGTGCACCCAATAGCTGAAAGATTTCTCTGTTTTAATGGCCTAGAGGGCATCTCTTGTATCTCTGGGGCATGGTAAGTCAGGCTACTCACCAAACTGACTGCTGGTGCAATAATTGGCCCGGACAGGGAACTGGCATCTCAGCAGCTACCTAAAGATGCCAGATGCTTTCCTTAGCTTTGTCCAGTACTACTCATTGTGTGTTCCAAAACTCAGTAGTTTATTTGACTTTGTAGACTTGTACATGCAAGGCTAGGACCCTGGACCAATTTTTAAAAATGAGACCCCCCTTTGTGCACCTGTGTGAGCTACTCTAGGAATGGCATCGAAATCAAATTTACAGAAAGAATAAATGATAAATAAAATGCAAAGTACAACAGACAATGGCACAAATGCCTTTACATATGCACGCAGTCCAAATTCAGTAAGACGCACATTTTGATCCCATGTGTTTTCTACTCTATTACTTAACACACACAAAAATTGCTGGCAATAAAACAAACATGCAAGGGGGGGGTGTCCTGAAAATTATAAAAAAAGAGGAAGCAAGCTATTGCCTTTTTGCTTCTTCAACTAGGACTTAACTAACAAGGGGCCTGGAGCAAATGTGCCTATTGAAACACTCATAATCTGGCCATGCATACATATAAACCCAGCTTCCAATGTAGTGCATTTTGCCCCAGGTAGTCCACTGTTTGCTAACTGTCTGATGGAATAAGAAAGTAGAAATTGTTTAGAGAGCAATTCTATGCTCCTTGGTAAGGCTTCTGAGGGGCCATTGATCCAATGGAACTGCTAGTTCTTCTGGTAGAAAAGAAAGCCCACAGAGGTCCTACCAGTACAGTCAAGGACAACTCTGCTGCGTTTATTGCCCTATCAGTGAGGCCAAAGAGAAAAGTGGATCTGCATGAACCTGAGCCACAATATGCCTTCTCTGGCCAGAAGGCTTTGGATGTGGCTGTTCCATCAAATGATTTCTTCATCCCAGCCTCAGAACTGTCTTGACCATTTGGAACCATATACATACTTACCTGAAAGTGTATCACATGGCATTTAAGTGGTCCTAAATTATGGATAAATATGCATAATATCACATACTATTAAATATATTAGAATAAACACCCTTCAAGGGAATTTTCCCCAAACATCATGACAACTACTGGTAAAAAAATGCACAGGGAAGCCATGTTTCAGGACACTAGGATTTGTAGCCAACATTTATATATAATAAAAACTCAGAACATTTCAGGCTAATCTCTCTCTATATATAGATATAGATATAGATATAGATAGATATAGATATAGATATAGATATAGATATATAGATTAGCCTGAAATGTTCTGAGTTTTTATTATATATAAATGTTGGCTATATATATCTAGAATAGAATAGAATAGTCTGAAGAAAATACTCTTGTAAATATATCTTCTCCTCTGTCAGTGGCACTGATATAGAGTTACAAAGGAGTCCATTTTTTGCCAGCTATTCTGGCAGGCTATTCTGCTACAACATTCTGCAGATCTAGCATCCTGAAATGTGGTCTCTCTCCATCTTGTTAATAAGAAAGAGTAGCAAGAAAATTAGAGACCAAATGAGACTTCTGCCCAAATCAACTTTACAAATACAGTCATCCCTTCTAATTAATGGGGATCCATTCCAGACCATCACCACCACTACTACCCCGCATGCGCAAATTGGGAAAATAACCAATACTGGAGCCCATTGATTACAATGGGGGGAAGAGGTTGCTCCTGCGCACAAACCATTATGTCCCCCATATTTGGCCAGAACTAGGATATACACAGAGGCAAATTTTGGAATGTGGTATACAAAGCTTGTGCCACTGCCTGAAATAATTTTCCAAGATGGGTAGCTCCTAGGCATGCTCTTTGGGTATTATTTTGGCTTCTCTTTTCTTTCTTTCTTTCTTTCTTTCTTTCTTTCTTTCTTTCTTTCTTTCTTTCTTTCTTTCTTTCTTTCCAGGAGGACCATGGAAGATTAAACAGAGCTAGAGATGGA